TTAGTGATTATTATTATTTCATTATCCAAGTATATTACTTCTCAATTTTCTATAATGAGTTTCTAACATATCAATTTTCTATAATGAGTTTCTAACATGTTATCCAAGTATGTTAGAAACTCATTATAGAAAATTGAGAACTAATTGTTTTGCCAATGAAAGAGCTTAATTATTTACAAAATGGAGCAACCAGTGAAAGAAAAGAAAACTTTGCAATTAATTTGCTGTTAAGAAGATAATTAATTAGTCAATATGATTCTATGAACATCATGTGAAAAGGAATCCTGTAAACCTTTTGAAATTAACTTTTTAGAGAGAGAGAGAGAGGGGGGCAGTACAGCTGCAACTCATTCATAAACTAGTAATGATATTCCAGTGGAGTATAATATTGAAAGACAACCAATCAATCTTTGCATACTTTTCAAATCATTTCCATAACATTTTTAATTATATAAACAAGGTTATGAAACGTAAAATAGAAAAGAATTCCATTAATTTCAAAATGGCCATTTTTTTTGGGGATAAGATATGTGGGGTGGGAGATGTGGGAAGATAAGAGTAAATGTATAAATTAACCACAACAGGAAGAATGTTAGCCGTCACTTACTGTGGTCAATTGACCTAAATTATTAATTTGTAATTCAACAATGCTTGCTTCTACATAGACAGAAGGGGCACTTCCTCCACATACTTGACGTGACACGTACATGGTCTATTTGACCCAAATTAATACTTTTTGACTTGTGTAATTTAAACACTTTCAATCTTCTCACTTCAATTTTCTTTTTTGGGTAAGTTTCTCACTTTAACTTTTACATTTGAAACGTGTGTATTTTCTCATACCTTATGTTCCTAATAAAGGTTCGGCTGGGACCCAAGCATACCTTATGCCTAACTCCGCTTTTACTGTTTAGGGTATGACTTTAGGATAACGCACTACGAGGACAAATCAAATCTTTCTTGGTTTAATTGATTCTAAATTCTTCATCTGCATTACTGAGTAACGCTCTATATCCAATGTCTTGAAAGACCTGACCAAGAAAGCATCTTTGGGCATAGAATTGCACTCCTGTTGCAGAATAGGCACTGGGTAATACAGATTTATTCGAACTGTGTGCATAACACAGATATTAACGCATGTATAATATGTACAGTTCAAATAAATCTGATCCACGATACGCTGAGCGCATGCATTCAATACTTCTTCCTCTTTTGACATGGTTGTAGAACAAAAGTGAGAATAGCAGATGGGCTTACCTACTTTGTGACACTGTCCCATCTTTAAGCAGTTCATTCGTTTGTATACCTTAAGTTAATGCAAATGGCCATCACGTGTTTGTAGACATTATTGACTTTATCTGGTAGCACTGGAAATTTAATGGAAGTTAAAGAGTGCTTACTTCCACACTGAAAAATCTTTACGGAATCATTGACAACGCAATATCCATTTAATACATTTACTTAGATGAGATCGAAATGCAATACTCTAACATCATTAAATTCAAAATGTAATGCATTTATATAGTTGTTTCATAATCAAATTCAAAATTGAAAAGAAATAATAAAAGAGTTATTTAAGACCGTAAGATGACTGTGGTTGGTGTTAGGTATGCTAAATATGACGGTCAAAATTTCGGTCCTGCAATGAAATCTCTCAGATAATGCAGAAGCTGACAAAACTAACCTTTGTCCAGTATTGGTTAAAAAGTATTTTCTTTGTTCTATATTAGTTGTTTGTTTCAAAAACTTTGACTCATTATTACCTTTAATTTTTGAGTCATTTTAGGTTATTTTTAGTCATATTCTTTTTATATACTTATATATTACCTCTATTTTAATTTTTTTTTTTCTTATTTAGTACTCACACATACATACCTTCACTGAAACTCGAACTCCTGACATCCCTTTGAGAAGTAATGGCCTGGTACCGTTAAAACACTGGCCCATTAGTACCTATATTCCATATTAGATGTTTACTTCTATAACTTAACTCACAAAAATTGTGATTCAAAATTTTTTAAAGTGGACAATTAATATAAGACGGATATAATAGTATTAACATAGAATTAAGCAATCAAATATTTTATTATAAAGTTTGAAAGATTGGAATGCAATCAAACCATTATAAATATGATTACTAGAGATCACTAATAAAATTCAAAGGTGACACTGAATAGAGAAGAGAACAAAGTTCAACGGTGTTCTTACAAGCCCTATATAGTTTTACAACACAAAACTCAATGTCAAGCCCGCACAGGTACAACATTTCCTTATTGGGCTAGATCTCTCCCAGAAAGGTTGCTTCAAATATTAAATTTAGCGCTAGTGGGCTGACTAAAAGTCACTCAAACCAATGTCTCTGAGTTTTACAAGCAACCTCTTTTTTCTTTTTTTTTTTATTTTTATTTTTTGTTAATTATTTTTAAAAGACGCACTCACACACCAATTATATATATACTGACTTGAACCATCAACCGTCTATTTTGGAAAGCGATGAAGTATTGACAGAGAGGGTGTAACTTAAATATATAAATTATTTAACACGCCCCCTCGCATGTAATTTCTTTTGGTTCAACACGTATTTTTAAAATTTTTTAATTAGATATATTTTCCAATAAATTAAGACTACTGCATCTTTTTCAAAACAACACTAATAAAAGATGCACGAGTATATTTTCCAATAAATTAAGACTCTAGCTTAATGTGAGTTATGCATACAAGGACACATCATCCAAATCCTTATTTCAAGACCTTGTTTCTTCATGTGTAATGTGAATTAGGTATGTAAGTATGAACGCAGGCAACCATAAATGCATATCCATGTACTGCATAATTGTCAGCTGGTGGACTTGGCATCCCACAAATTCGGACATAGAATAAAGCAGCCATTATGATTTATGAGACAATTTTGGCAAATTTTATCAATAGATTGCTCATCACTTTGGGCACAATGGGTTAGAACTTACCTTGTCAGTGGAAGATGCATTTGTCTACTGAAGACACCACAACATTGCATTTGGAACTGATCTCATTTGGTTTTCCCACACCATCCCCGAACACAACTTCATAGTCTCGGTTGCAATTCACCATAAACTTCCCACTTATGATCGCAAGCCAGTTGCTTATTGGCACACCCCCAATTTTTGTTGTCTTCGTTTTACGTATCCAGATTCACAATAATCATATATTTTTTTCCAATGCCGTTTTGTTTCCCCCATTTGGAACTTTATACAAACACGTTGTGCATTTTACACTCGTCCATCTTCTTGGGCCGAATACGTAGATTGGGCTTGTCAATTATAGAAGGAGAAGGAAACTATGGCTTGAAGCACTGGTTTGCAGTACTTGGATGGAGCGAAACCGAAGATACTTCAAAGGTTCTTTGCTCCCTTCAAATGTTGTGCTCAATCCAACTCTTGCCTCTGTTCCAGAGAAATTGATGTGCTTCTCTGTCCAAGATTCAAGTTATGCTAGACGTATAGCAGTGGAATGGGATCTTCCAGGTCCATTTATCCGGCCATCGCCAACGCCACCCTACTGATCTCGCCGGCGATCTTAACTCACCAATGCCACCTCCTACACCACCGGATTTGAATACTAACTGCCACAACGGTTGTCTTTTAAGAGATGGGGTAAGCTTAGGCTTTTGCCATTTTTTGTATCTAATGGCCCAAAATTGGGTCTATACATTCTCCAATTTTGGGACCAATCTTAAAATCTATAAAATTTGGGCTAAGTTTAGGCTTCCTTGTAACAGGCTTTTGCCATTTTTTTTTCGGTATCTCATGGCCCAAAATTGGGTTTATACACTCTCCAAATTTTTTTTTTTTTTTTTTTTTTGGTATCTCATGGCCCCACATTCGAGGACCAATCTTAAAATATACGGTATATCTATGATCACAGGACATCACTTTTTAAGAAACAATCTGTGGTTTTACAACAACACAAAAGTGAATGCAAAGCCTACGCATAGATACAACATTTTCTTATTGGGCTGGACCGCTCGCAGAAAGGTTGGTTCAAATTCAATAGAAGGTGGTACATCCTGGTGCTATTGGGCTGATTAAAACTTAGTAAAGCCCACTGTATGTAGAGTTTTACAAACCAGTGTTCCCACAAGACCTATACTAGTATCTATGAAATTTGGGGTCTACAAGATGGACAGACAATTTAGGCCTAAAATCACTAATGTGGATGCATGTTTCTTGTCATTTTAGACTCATAACACAAATATCATGGCAAACTATAGAATAGTTCGCTCTGTAGCGTATTCCTAGAGGTCGAGAGTTTGAATTCTCTCAGGACCACAATTAAGAAATTTTCCCCATGCATATGGGACTATGTTAGGAGGAGCGGGTTATACATGTGTCTGGTGATGGATTATGAAGTTTTTCATGTCTCTCTATCCAACTCAAGAAAATTAGGTATTTGCAATATGACGATATCTTGGACCCTTTTATTCATGGTCAGATAAACTAATTTCGTTGCAGGAACGGAGCCATATTGGGGCCCGGGGGGCCAGTGGAAGGTTCCTCAACGACCCCACATGCAACTCTAAAGCGGGCACAACTTAAAAGGCCATTCTGATTCTTATTCTCTTCAAAAATTCGTTGATCTGCTTTAGTTTGTATACTAGAGAACTAAGAAACAGATTTTCTGATTTCTATAGTTTTAGCTTATGTCAAACTTGAATTTATGTTGTTGTTTGGATTAGAGGTTGGACACATATTGAAGTATTGTCCCAAAAAAAAAAAAAAAAAATAGAAAAAAAGGTATGTAAATCAGATGGACATGCTAGATCACATTATGCATAACACAAAAACTAGTTGATTATTAAAGGTGTAGAAATATACATATAATAATAAATAAAAAATTAAAATTAAAAATGTGCTAAAAGTCATCACCACGTAACGTGAGAAACACATTAAACAAGGAGGTGGGGCAACTCGAAATTTGGGCTCATCAATTTTTTTTTTTTTTTTTTTGCACCAACGAACAGTTTAACCATTAAAAGAACAGGAAGAACATTCGGGAAAGAGAGCATCCAACAGCCACTTAGGCCAAATGCTCCACTCAAAATCACCACATTCAGCTAAAAGAGTTTTCTTGCTTAAAACATGAGCTACAACATTTCCTCGACGAGGAACCCAAGCAAGGGAAGACCCCGCACAAACCTTAAGAAGAGACTTAAAATCATTAAAAATAACCATTAAAGCCTCAACAGATGCATGAAAATTCAGAACTGATTTGCAATCACCCTCCACAATCATATCTTTATACCCCCAGTGTTTAACAAGCAACAACGATTCACGAAGAATTAGACCTTCAGCCAAAGAAGGGCAACTTTCATTCTAAAGAAAAACTGAAGCCACCTTAATGGGATGCACGAGATGGTTTCTGAGAATCATACCTCCCCCACGAGTCTTCCGAGCCGAGTTGAAGGCCGCATCAAAGTTAAGTTTGAAAAATCCAGTTGCCGGCGCCGTCCATAACTGAGGCAGAACAAAAGAAGGAGAAGATGGAGGTGACAACAGTTGATTTTGCCGAGAAATCTCTTGAAACTCTTGAAAAGCAATATGAGCTTTTTGAGCAGCATCAAAGGGATCCCAACGTTTTTGTTTAAAAATGAGATCATTTCTGCATTTCCAAATGGTCTAACAGAGAAAGGCAGCTAAGCTGATACAATCATCTGGAGCTTCAGTCAAGGTCCAGTTTGCACAAAGATCCAACCACCTTTTAGGCCAAAAAGAAGAAAAATCAGCATTGAAATCCAGTCTAACCGGGCTAAGTTTCCAAACCATGCAAGCAAAGGGACAGGTGCATAGAAGGTGATCAACCGTCTCAACCTCCAATTCACAAAATAGGCAACAAGACCTGTCAAAAACGCCACGTAAGAAAAACAGATTATTCACCGGAATGCGCTCATAATTACACTGCCAGAGGAAAAGTTTGATTTTCTGATGAGCACGAATTTTCCACACCTGATTCCACAAACCACTACGAACGGGATCAAAACTACAACCATCAAGAGGAACAAACCGAGGCTTGGGAAAAAAAACAGATAATGTAATATAGTAGGCACTTTTAACCGAAAACTTGCCATCCTTGGAGGGACCCCAAATCTTGCAATTAGCCTCCCCGATTGAACTAAGGGGAATTTGTAAAATAAAAGACTGATCCCGAAGATTAAAATATTGAGAAACTAAATCGGACTTCCATTTGTAAGAGGAATGATTAATAAGGTCTGCAACAGAAGAAAAAGTGGCAGCCAAATTCTTTGAAGTAACAGAGAAGTTTGAAGTGGCAGGAAGCCAGTTGTCCTTCCAACAATTGACCTTGGATCCGTCCCCAATATGCCATCGCATACCTTTTTGAATAATCTCTCTTGCCGAAAGAATGCTCTTCCAGACCCAAGAAGCACCGGATTTGTGAGGAGCATCAACAAAGTTACAATTTTTAAAGTATTTCGATTTGAAGGATTTAAAGCGTAAAGTGTCATCTCCGGTTTCCATTCGCCATGTAAGTTTTGCTAAAAGGGCCAAATTGAAGGCCTCAACATTCTTGAAACCAAGTCCACCTTCATTCTTAGATTTACAAAGGGTGTCACAACTGATCCATTTAATCTTATTAGATTTTGCTTCACCACTCCACCAGAAGTTGAGGAGATTACTAGTGAGCTTTTTGCAATTTTGCTTCGGAAGTTTAAAACATTACATAGACAAGGTTGGGAGAGCCGAGAGAACCGATTTCACCATCATTTCTCTGTCGGCGTTCGACAACAATGGACCTTTAAGCAACTTAGTTTTAGAAGCAACCCTATCTAAGATAAAGTTGAGAGTTGTGACCTTGGACCTGCCTATAAAGGAAGGCAACCCAAGGTATCTATGACCCCAATCAACATTCTGGAAACCCAAGGTTTGACGATAGGTATCTTTAAGGGTTGAAGGAGAATTAGGAGAAAAGTATAAACAAGATTTGTCTAGATTTACTAACTGGCCTGTTAAAGCTTCATAGCGGTTGAGAACCGATTTAATACATTGCACTTTAGAATTTGCAGCTTTACAAAAAAGAAGGGCGTTATCGGCAAAGAGTAAGTGAGAAATTGGAGGGCAACTGTGATACCCCTCGGATCCGAGACACCGGTTGATCAGGCCCAGGCCCAAACCCGAGGGATATCAAACAATTAAGGTATTTTAAATCGAATACGGAATACAAAATGAATTTAAGAAACAATAGTTTAAGCTGAAAGAAATCTAAAATATAAAATCCTTTAATATTAAATATACTTACATCCCAATAATCCAAAACCTCCATAAGTTAACAACTCGGGAATCCATCTCTAGTGGACCCCTAATAAAAATCCCAAACTGAAATAAAAGTAAACTGAAGATAAAATCCAAATCAAATATCTGGAAGGAAGTCCTAAATCGTCGGTAGAATGGAAGATCGTCTTTGCTCAGCACGAACAAGCTCAAGCCTGGAACTGACGTACACCTGAAAAATAGGAGTGGGTCAGGCCTACGAACAAGTTCTAACCAACTACAATCCAAACGGAGACTCGATATGCATATACACTCTAACCAACTCAATAATAACTATATAAGTCATGTATATATATATATATCCACACTATGGACTCTCGCTGGACTATGATACTGGTCTCAACCTGAGTAGAAGATAACATGCAAAACGCACCTGAGTGGGCATGACTACCTAAGCCTAACAGGGTACACCACAACCAGCATAGGCAGCTACGCGTCCTACTGTATATACGCTCCCTAACCATTGACCCCGAGACTCAAGCTCATGTCACGGTACCATAATAATATATTTAAAATCCGTTCATAACCATCCATAATAAATCTAGTAAGTCGTTCAGTTTATTCAACTGCACAGACTTAACATAGATAACCAGTAATCCAGCGAGTCATCAGCTTGTGCAGCTTCTTTGACTTAGCATAAATATAAGTAGGATTTAATTATAATCCATTCCCTTATTCCAATTCAGGTTGGATTTAGTATTTTGTAACAAAACCATTCCTAGTATATCACCTTTCCATATCGGTGCATACAATCCATCCGTCCAGAAGTTAATAATACAAATCACAAATGTAAATACCAACAAATTCACAATAAGCAGAGTCAAAATATTAAATTGAACATGCTTACTTTACCCCATTATGCAGTTATCCAAGAATTTCTAATACAGCCAACATATGTATAAGTAATTCATCCATTATAAGCATATAATCATTCTGTAATTTAACATGCTTACTCCAGTAACTGATAACTCTTATCATGAGATATATCAATCAATTCCATATTGAACAAATAACAAATAGATAAGCTATCATGCTTATATCGAATTACAAATGCAGAATTCTTCAACACCTGAGATTATACAAAATCCGTTTCCCCGTTCCTTATTCCATGACAAGTATAATATTAATTATATTAATTATCATGCTTGTCTACTATTTATCAGTACAGAATTAAACAAATTGCCATTCATAGAGAATAATTAACCCGAGGTTTAGAAATATTAAAATCCTCCACAATTGAATTAACAACAGTTTTATCCATTATTAACTACTGTTCAAGCTATGAACATCTATGGTTCATTATGCATTAAAACCACTCTCTGAAGTTCAACAAGGCTTAGAACATCTCTAAACACTCCAATACAGCTTCCAACAGAATCTAAAAACGTGAAAATCCAAGCCCCGTAGCCAAAACCGTCGCAGAAAAACCACAACTGGAACCCAACTGAAAGAGCCTGCTCTTCTAAGAAGAGCCTGCTCTTCTTTGCTAGGAGCCGGCTCTCCTAGTCTTGGAGCCGGCTCCAAGACCTCCAAGAGCCGACTCTTGGTCTCTAAGAGCCTACTCTTCATTCCAAGAGCCTGCTCCTTCAACCTGTGAGCCGTCTCTCTTCTCTGTTCTTCATCTCTTTCACGTCCGGCGATTTTCCGACGAACTGTTCTTCATCCCTAGGGTTCCTAAGTGTTTTAATTAGATTCCAGTATGCTAAAGAAATAATTAAATTCCTTACTCACTCAACGACATTAATTATACATCAATTATGCCACAAGGAATTTAAACCGAGATAATTTCCATTCATGAACACCAACTGTTTTAGCAAATCAACCTTGCAACTAAATTACTTCTAGTGTTTCTCCAACATGTTATAGAACTACTAAAATTCATTATTCATCAATTTATATGAATTAAAACAGAATCTACACCAGAAAGAATTTAAAACAAAAACAATAGACAGTATATAAACACGTCCAGTTTGTAAGCATCTAACCATGGAACACAGTTTAATTTTAATCCTTATTAAATCCTGGAGTTGTATTAAACGTGCAAAGAACACGAGTCAACGGGATAGAGTTAAGATTAGAACTTGCCTGTGAGATTCGGTTCAAAAAAATCTTATTGTTTTTCTTCTAAGCTTTTCCGTCTCTGTTCTCTCCCAGACTTCTCTACGTCTCTCTGTTTTAGTATGCCATGAATAGGGTTTTCAAACCCTAAATCAAACATAATACCTATATTTATGGGTTTACGCCAAAACCTTAGTTTAACTAAACCCTAAACTGAAAACTTGGCCCATGGAAAACCTAATTAATGTTTAATTCTATCGGCTACCTACATGACCTCTAAAAACCTAATTTAATAAAACACATCTAACGTAATTTAAATTAATACAACCATGCAATAAAAATCAATTTAACAAAATAAAACAAGTACAAACAATTTAGGACACAATTAAGTCAATTAAAATAAAAGAAAATCCAAGTAAATAAACAAATAAAATAAATAAGCAAACACAAACAAATCATTAAATAATTCACCTAATTAATTCACAATTAAATCAAACAAATTTCACAATAAAACAAAGCAAAACACACTTAAACAATTAAATAAATTCCAGGATTATCCTTTTAAAATTAGGGGTACTACAACAACCCCGACCCATTTTCAGCCCCAAAAGTTTTTTCCTTATCGAACATTCATGAAAGAGTAGGGATAAACTTCAGTACAAAAAAGGAATAAAAATGGTGAAAGGGGATCGCCCTGCCGTAAGCCTCTGGAAGGGGTAAGGTAATCTCCTTTTTCGCCCTTTAGAACACTAAGTATGAAACAGTGCTAATGCATTCCATAATCAAGTTAACCCATCGTGAATGAAAGCCCAGCAAACTCATGAACTTGCATAGAAAAGACCAATTCACCCTACCATAAGCCTTTGCCATATCCAATTTAACCGCCATAGAACAAGAATCCCCATGTTTTTTCGATTTGAGAACATGTAAAAGGTCATGAGCAATCACAATGTTATCATGAATTAGGCGGTTAGGGACGAAAGCGCTCTGGGATTCGCTAATAAGAAGTGGAAGAAAAGGTTTCTGTCGATTGGAAAGGGCTTTTGAAAAAATCTTATAAGCCACATTGCAGAGTGCAATTGGACAAAAATCCATCATTGAAGTAGGGTGAGAAACTTTGGGGATCAGAACTAGGTTGGTGGAGTTGAGACCTATGGGAAAGAAACTGCCTTCCAGAAAGGAATTGAAACCTTTAACCAGATCCACCCTAAGCACAGCCCAGTTCATCTGAAAAAATAGAGGAGTGAACCCGTCCAGGCCGGGAGCTTTATAAGGCCCATACTTGCCACGGCCAACTAAAGCTCATCGCTGGTCCCCTCGCCCAACAGCTCGCAATTCATTGCTGGAGTCACTTTAGGCGTCACCAAATTCCAAAATGGTAAATCATCAAAACATAGACCTACTGCAAAAAGATTTTGGAAATAGTCTTCAGCAACCGTGCGGGTATCATCTTTAGAATCCCACCACTGACCACATTGATCTTCAATCCCAAAAATCTCATTTTTCCTTCTGCGGATTTGTGTTTTGCGGTGAAAATTTTTTGTATTCTTGTCCCCATGGTTCGACCAGCCAATCCGTGATTTCTGCAGCCAAAAAAGTTCTTCTTCCCTCCAAGCGTTGCCCAACTCTTGTTCCAACTGAAAGCACAAACCTTTGTCAAAATCAGCCTCTTGTTCTTTAAGACGCTTCAGCTTCTGCTCAAGATCGTTTATCTTGACCTTACCATTATTGCATTTTCCTCTTTGCCGAGATTTAAGATTGGCCTTGCAGAGAGTTAATTTTTACTGGATACCCTGAAGTGGAGGGCCAGGAAAATGGACATCCTACGACTGTGTGATAAAAGGCTTAAATTCCTCTTCTTTCACCCATCGAGCATCAAAATGAAAAGATCGTGGAATATGAGAGATAGAATCATTGAGACACAACAGTATAGCATTATGATCCGATCCTTGGACAGTGAGATTGTGAAGCATACATCGGGGGAAAAACTGAGACCATGCTGGTGTGCAAAGGGCTCTATCAAGTCTAGTAAGAATGAGCTTATTGGATTCCCTTTTGTTTCGCCAGGTGAAAGGAAACTTAAAGCGAATATCCAACAACTTACAATCCTCAAGAAAGTGTTTAAATTCTTTAAGCATTCAGCCTTGCTTAAGACGACCACCGCGTTTCTTATCACAGTGAAACACTGCATTAAAGTCACCCATCAGTAGCTACTGAGGGCCAAGTTGAAACATAAGACTGTGAATATATCTCCATTGATAAGCCATTTCCTTTTCTGTACAAGACCTATACACCCCTGTGAAAAACTAAGGGCTATCACCTTTGCCACCAATTACTTTACAAGTGATCTGAAAAGCCGAGAAGTCGAGAATCAAAATTTGTAATTCTTTAGAGTATAAATGAGCCACACCACCTGACCTAACCACCAACGAAACCTCAAAAACATCATAGGACCCCAATAAAAGTCGAACTTTTTCCACTCGATCCCGGGCATTCTTTGTTTTAGACAGAAAAATTAAAGGCAGAGAATGAAGGTTAACAAACCTTCTCAACTGGGAAACTGTCAGGGGGTTCCCCAAACCCTGACAAATCCACACCAGAACTTTCATTGGATAAATGGGAAGAGGTTGTACCAGCTGAAATCATAAAATCTGAGGAGGGGGACGTTACTCTGGAATGTTTTGGGTCTGACTCTGCAAATACTTTTGGAGTTTCTATTTGCCTCTTTCTCGGTGATGGTGTGTTAACTGAGCCATGCTCTGTCTGCATCTTTGTTTTTCTCTTCTATGAACGATGACTAGGAATTTTAGCGATGAAAGAAACTGAACAAGAGGACTTGTTAACAGGGGAAACAAAGCCTGGGGTATGTGAATTAGCTGGGACAGACTCCTGTAAGTTAAGAACGGAGTGCGTGAAACCCGGCTGAATAGATGGATCTATGAGAGAATATCTGGGAGAGGATGGGCTGTCACTGTGGACTAGCATAGCATTAGTTAGATTTGGGCTAGGAATAGATGGCCCAACCACTGTATTGTGGGTTAATAGAGGCTCGGGTAGAGACCCGTCCACCCAAGATGGATCCTAGGCCCCCCTCGTTGCAAAAAACGTCTGGACCACAGAAGAATCGATAGTGTCAGAGAGGATAAGATTCATACCTGGACCACCCGAAACCACGTTTCCGATAGGGGGAAAGATTATGGGGACGTGGCAATCACTATGGCCATTCATTGTATCTTGAGAATTGAGACCGGTAACTGGGTTGAAAGTACCACTGCTAACCTCGCCGGCAAGACTGTCGATTACCGGCAATGACGGGATCGTGTAATGGGAGCTTAGAGATGGTGAAAGGCTGCTTGAAGCCTAAGATTTGGGGCTTTTCTTGAGTCTACCTGTAGTTTCGGATTCCTTTAACCAGAGACAAAACTGCTTCTCATCAACTGGCTCAACAATATTCCAAGGACAAAACTTGAATGCATGGCCGACCCGACCACAATTGTAACAAAGAGAGGGCAAACGTTCATGTCAAAATTTTGTCCACTGCCGTTTATTGTCATGCCAAATTTTTAGCCCCCGTCGAAATGGCTTAGAAATATCAACACCGACTCGAATACAGAGATATCGACCGCCAGTGAGCTTCAGATCGCGCACTTCCACCGTTTCACAAAAAAGAAAGGATGAAGCAGTATCACAGGCCACCTCTTCCGTTGTAAGTTGCAAAGGAATATTAGAAACCCTAACCCAGAATGGAACTGTGAGGAAGAAGGAATCGCAAAAATCAAACTCGGGTGACCATTTTTTTAATAGAAATAAGATTGCCATCAAAACTCCATGGACGATATCTTAAGATGCGCTCGCTGTCTTCTTCACTAGGGATGATGAACTGGAACATTAGATCTTTGATTTGGTACATTTGAAGCCCTTCACAGGCCCATGCCTCGCTTAGGGTTTTACTCATACCAAAGAGTTGCAGTGGCTTCTCTGTAAAAATTTTCCCTGCCAGACTATGTTAACAGAACCGTAAGCCATCAAGAGCCACCGTCTTGGTGATGACAACCTCTTGCTCTTCTTCTGCAGAGGGTTTACAAAATTCTAATTGAGAGGCCATATCATCCTCCATAATCAGGAGAGGAAAAAAGAAGAGGAAGAAAAATGAGGCGTGAACCCTCAAAAACAAAGAAAAACCAAAGCGACTTGAAGAATCAAGAGCAATGTTTTGAAACTCCTCTCGTTAACCAGACAAAGAACGAATGACCATCAATTAAGGGACCTGTAATCTCTCTAAAAAGGAAAATCAGAATTGGGGCTCACCAACTAAGGATTTATGATTGAGAGTTTATTATATGGTCTTGGATCATTAGTTTTGAACTAATCATTATTTGACACTCAAATAAAAATAGATTAAAAAGGTATAAGTTTTATTCAAATTTTTTATTTCGTATCAGATGGTAATTAGTCGGAACTATTGGTCTCGACTGGTCACCAGTTGACACGCAAGAAAAAAAATATAAATAAAGTTGTTACAAACTTGCAAAGTTAAGGCATTTACTTGTGTCCTATCCATATATTGACTTAGCAGGACCATTTAAAATCTTTTAATGGAGGTTATTACATGGTCTCAGAACTATTAGTTTCAGACTAATCATCATTTGACACCGAGGTAAAAATATATTAATTAAAAATATGTAAACTTTATTCAATTTTTTGTTTTGTGTCAAATGATGATTGGTCAGGACTATTAGTCCCAATGAGTCACTAATTAACGCTCAAGCAAAAAAAAGTTAAAAAAGGTTGTTACAAACTTACAAAGCTAAGGCATTAGCTTGCGCATCAGCTATATGTTACCTACCAATAGTCGTGAGTTACATCAAGAGATTACATGAACCCGATCAATTATAAACTAGATTATATAAATTGACACACAAACAAATATATTTACTTTATTTAATTTTTTAAATACCAATACCATATAGTAATAAATTCTGCCCTAGAGTCATCCGGAGATTCACGCCAATTTGACCACTATTAGTAGATAAGCCACTTACTGCAATTTTTCTGTTATGGTCTTTTGTAATGGGTAGATGCTTGCTCATTTATCCAAAAATTTAAGCTGTTGGGTAGTGCTACATACCAACCTATTTTTACCCAATCATTTTTCCATTCGGATTCGATATGGGACAAATAACTCTTGTTACATTCTTCCCCACCCAAACTCTTAACGCCCTCGTTGCGGCTCGGGCCACCTACTTATTAGAGCTATCTAGCTCATCCAGACGCCTTCCGGGCCTGACGCTTGCTGTGACACTGCTGGGTCTAACTCTAATATCAACTGTAACAGGTGACGCTTGCTCATTTACCAAAAAACTCAAACTGTTGGGTAGTATGGCATATCCACCCATTTATACCCAATCACTTTTCTATCCGAATTCAATGTGGGACAAATGACCCTTGTTACTACATCTATCATATAGAAGTACTCAAATTGAATGAATAATCAATTTTCAAGTTATTCAAATTAATTAATCATTTTGATTTTTTCGGATACAAAACCAAGGGAAAATTGGTAGATATAAATGCACCAAAAAGTTTCCTTAATTAGAGTAGAGGTTCCAAAGATTGGAAAGTCGTGACAAAAAGGAGGTTTCAGTCAAAAATTTACATGCTCAAGCAAGGTACATAATAATTATTCATGGTACACCGGCACTATTCAAGTAATTAAGAAGTTATTATTTTAAGTGACTCAAGTGCAATTATATAAGCCTTGATCAAATTATAGCGACTTAAAAATTTACGTCGAACAATTCTTTTTAATTGGTATTGCTCCACGATTCGAGTGCGCTTTCCTTCTCACACTCCGCATGCGTTTTTGCTTCCATTCTCACTATTTATGAGCTCATTTTGTCACTTTTGCACTACTACTCTCGAATTCGTTCTCACTTTTGCTCACTCTATATGTAACATAGGTTAAAACAAAACTAATTCGATCAATTTACAATTTTAACTTAGATAAGCTTCCTCCTATAATTATATTCTTTGAGCAAAATGAGATAGGAAAGAAAGAAACATAGAGATAAGCCTTTATGTAAGTCCTGTATGTTAGGATTTTCACCGACATTTTACAAAATGCATAATTAATTGGGTAAAGTGCAATAAACCCCCCTCAACTATACCCCAAGTGCAACTAACCCCCCTCAACTACAAATAACCCCCTTCAACTATGGTCTTGCTGTTGTCTTAGGACAGAGAATGTTTTTCAGGTCATTTCTAGCTACCGGAATTTGGAAAAGTCTAATTTACCCCTTCAAAAAACTGTGCCGCATCACATTAATGAAAATAAATTGCCTGGAGGACACATGTCAGCAGACTATTGGCTGCTGACTTTATTATTATTTTTCCTTTTCTTTTTGTTATCTTCAACTGGGTCTCTCTTCTCACTCCATTCTCTCTCTAACTCGATGAACCCCCAAATTGAAAAGGTGACCTTGAAGCCGGCGATTGACAGAACAGCGGGCAAGGTGATGACGAGCTTGGCTGTGGCGGCTTGATGGAGAAGGGTTGGCTGTGACGGCGAGGTGGAGAAGGGTTCTGTGACGGCGAGGTAGGTGGACTGAACGGCAGAGACGGTGGCGGCTCAGCCAGTGGAGAGCTCGGTTGACTCGGCCGTGGGCGAGCTTAGCGGGATTGATCGACGGCCGAACTCATGGCGAGCAAGGAGGCTTTGGACGGTGGAGAGGATGAAGACGGCGTCGGCGGTTTCGGCTTTGGATGATGTCGGTTGTGATGGACGGTGGGTGGTGCAGCGGCGGTGATGGACCGGCGAGGGCTCGGCCTTGAGGAAGAAATGTGTCGGTGGAGAGGAGCTGCCGGCAAGTGGGTTTTGATTTTTGATTTTTGATTTTATTTTTTATTTTGATATCGATTTACATAAAGAGCTATGTGACGGTCCCAATCGAAGTGAGAACACTTTCTGGTTGATTTTTGTGATGGATATCTAAATCAGAATAAGTCAAGTTGCAGAAGAGTCTGCTTCGTTGGAGGTTGGAAAATGGATCGAGTCTGCTAAATACTCTTGACCTGGAGTGGGGAGTACCGATAGAATATGTCTATGGGATTTGATTTCTTGTTCTGTATATGCCAAATGGGTTTTGATTTTTTGATTTTGATTTTGATTTTATTTTTATTCACTATATACTAAGCTAACATATGGGTACAAAAGCTTCAAACTATACCTTGGATCGTTTCAGTTCTAATGCCAAAGGACGAGCATCATATGTGTTGTATATATATATGTATGTATATATATATCATATGTGCTAGAGGAAGAAGACAATGAGTGAATTTGTTAGGGCTTGTTTGGGTCCAATGGTGTTTCATGGGCAGTATAGTATTTTAAATTGATAAGGGCAGTATGGTAATTTATATAAATTTGGCCTCTCACGCGCAAGGAAAATTATCGGCCGGTTGCCGGATTGGGTAAAGTGCAACAGACTAAATAGTTCAAGGAGGTTTTTTGTTCATTTTGAAATTCAGGGGGGTTTTTTGCTCATTGGGATATAGTTTAGGGGGGTTTAATGTACTTTACCCTAATTAAATGTATTATTGGATATCTATACATATATGTTATATATGTGTGTGGGCGTGAAAAGAAGAAAATAATGGTGTAAGAAATGAGTGTCGGCAAGTAAAGTCGAAATAGAAAGAGAGAAATGAGTGTAATAAATGGATGCTATAGCAAAAGTCATAAATGGAAGCTGTGCATGTCGGTTAAAGGTGTATATATAAACGTGTACCAGAGGAGAAGGGAAAGAAGATAGAAAATAGAGAGAAGGTGAGTGCCACCAAGTGGCCGTGTGCAAAGGCACCAAGATGAGAGTTGAGAGGTGCATGTGGTCTTATAAAGAGTTATAGGTGTGTGAGGGTCTTGGATCCCTTTTATATGGTGGTGGTGGTGGTGGTAGAGTGGGTACAACATCGGAGAACCAGTTAACCAGTGCTTCAATTATGGTTTCTCAATTATTCGATTCCGGTTCTAAATTTGAGGAATCATTGAATTTCAATTCAGTTTTGGCTTCTGATCCTTTAGAACGGAATCGAACCGATTCTATTATATATATATATATATATATACTTTAATTATATACATTACATAATCTGTAACACATGTCTTACTCTTACTTACTCTTAGACTTTAATCTTTAGTCTCTTAATTTTACCGCATAACTAATACTGTTTTAGTCTTGCATACTATGTTTTTAAGTAATCTTTAATCTTGCTTTTTTTAAGGTGTATTATATTACTATGTTTTTTTTTTTTTTTTTTTTTTTTTTTTTTAAGACATTAGTATATTATTGCCTAGTTTTATATATAAGAGTAAATTATACTGACTTTTCATAAGATTTGGACAAATTATACACAAATAGAGCACATATTATACACAAATAGAGAGCGTTTGGTCTTTATTATTTTAATTTCCTCTAAAAGTGTTAAATGTCTTTCATACCCTTATCTAATTTAATAAAAAAAAATTATAAATAGTATTATAATTTAATAGAGCGTTTGGACTTTATTACCTTTTTTCAATTTTTTCCTTCTTGTAAACACTATATTATCCTATCTTTCTTTGTTTTTTCTGGTGAAAAAAATCTAATCATGTCAATATATAAAGTTATTAATGTCTTTTAACACAAGGAAAGAGAAATTTAGTCATTTTTTGAATTTTCATTAATTGAATTTTCATTAATGTCCACACGCAATAAGTTTCAAAGGAGGTTAAAGTAATTAAGGCCAAACGATTTACTTGTGTACAAATTGCCCTAATCTCAAGGAAGATCGGTGTAATTTACCATATATATATAAACTATTAAATTTGTGATTAGTAATTTGACAGAGTTTTTTTTTCATAATATATAAACATATATATTTAAAAAGTAAAAAAAAATAAGAGAGTAAAGAATCATAGTTCAGAACCAGCTCTGTTCAGTTCGTTGCAAGAACACCGGTTTTGATTCTGGTTTCAATTTCTAAGGAACTGAGAACGATTCAGTTCTAAATTAGCTTAGAACCGAACCATATGCATATCTTCCTTGGAGTAGGAGTGTTGGATACATAGTACAGTGTTGAGTCTATCCTATGCAATTTCTCATGGGAGAGTGATATCTATCATTTTAATATTTCTCTCAACAAATAGAGTGAAATTTTTTTTTTTTTTTTCTTGAACACAAGTCAAATTAGACCGAACCATGTGTTTGTTTGTTTTATTTGCGTTGTTATTTGTTGTTGGATCTCCATGTTCGGTTGTTATTTACTTCCACTGTGCTCAATAATGGGTGTTTTTACCCAACACTGCAAGGTAAGGTAAAAAAAAAAAGCACACAATTAAAGGCAAAAGAAATCAACTGATCAATCATAGACAGTTATAATTTTTGACTGATTTGTTTCACTCAGGTTGTGTTTGGTTAATGGGGGTGTGGTGCCCTAACCACGAATGGGGAGTCCTGGTCCTTGTACAGATTCCATCTTGTGTTATACATCTGCCTTATCTTCTATCACCCAACATTGCACGACTTCTTCAAGTGATACCTGAAAATGGTACTTTGTTCATGACATGTAGGTAAGTGAATTAGTTCTTTCTTTGCTAATTTATCGTTAAAAATGCCACTCATCATCATCAACTCACATCCTCGTCTATTGATTGAGACTTGTTTATACTATGGATTGTTTGATTAGTGGACCAGTTGTATGCAAAATATTTATTAAATATATATGGATAGTATTTCGTTTTGAATAGTAAAAGAGATACGTAGCATATGGTATATCTATCACCACAACTACTTAAATGTGAAACACAAATGAAATGCATTCTAAATTATGGGAGTTTTCTTTAACCTTTTGTCATTAATTAGCCAGCACCTTTTGTCATGCTGATCCCACTCATAGGATAAGGATTGGGTAGAAATTTGGTTACTTGGGGGGTAATTGAAGGCCTTTCAACGTAAATGAAATAAAAGTTAGTTTAATATTTTAATGTATTATATAATATGAAATCAACAAGGTCATGTAACTCTATCTATGCCTACTTCACAGAAGGGAAATTTTAATTCCAAGACTAGGGTGTAACTAATTGATATTGATTACATCAAATATGAGTGACCAAAAACTAAACGGTCGTTTCAAATATGGCACCCTTGTTCAAAAGGAGTTTACTCGTCAAAGAAGTTCTAAATAAACCAGGTCCCTCCAAAATCATTACAAAGTCACACAACTAGTCAGCAATTTGAAATATGTTGTACTAAGTAGTTTTAGAGTAGTTTAGGAAATTTTTGGACATGTTTGATTTGTAATTTTAAGAATAATTTTTAAATTTTATAAAATTATTTTAAAATATTCTGCTCAATTCAATTTTTTAAAAATTATTTTTCAAAAATTCAATTATAAAAAAAGTCTATTTTCAGATAACTTAGTTTTATTGTTTTTTAAAAGCTGTTTTATGTTATTATCTAATTCTTAATAACTGACTTACAAACCAAAAAACTTCAAAAAATTCTTAAATTACTAGTAAATACTAAAAAAGAGAAGAAGATCTCTCCCCTGTGCGGAGGGAATCTGTGCACCATTGTCCGCCCAAATAGTGTTGAGACTTCGGGGGTACACGGGACCGCCCCGCACATATCCCCTCCCCCACAAGAGGAGGGATCCGAATTAGGACATGCCTATCCCAAGTTCCCAACTTTAAAAAAAAAAAAAAAAAAAAACAAAAAACCACAGCCAAACATCATGATCTAACATCAATTCCACCAATCTATAACATATATCTTAGTCCCGAAAGCAACCAAACATCATAAATTTTCCATCACCACCAATCAAAAATGTGAAGACACCGAATGCAATCCATTGTTACCATGAAATTGACAGAAAGTACACAAAGTAGGTAGAAGAAACTAAAGATCAAACACCCAAAAAAAACAAACCACCTCCTATAACCCATATGCTCTCCTTTATATCTCCAGAAACAGCACAGCAAGAGGTTTGTCCATAAGACTAAAAGTAACAACTTGGAATCCAAATTAAAACAAGAAAACACCACAACCTAACACACTATGAGACACAGAGCTCTGATCTGAACCTAAAATGACAGAATTCCATAGCTTCTAATTCCAACAATATCTACCTGAAAAGGCTTCAAGGGAGTGAAGTGATCGTCTCTCTACGGGCTTGCTTGTGGTGTCACAGAGGCCCAGCTACCCCCACTGCAGCTGCCGCCATCGCCGCCGCCGCCGCCGCTTTCAATCCTCATCCCAGACTTCCCAGTGAATACTTCCACTGCTTTTGAGGCCACAGAGACCACGGTCTCGACGCAGCTATCAAAAATTTGAGTTTTGATCTGTCCCCACCTCTTCGGAGGAAGGCTTGAGTTTTGTTTTCTCGAGGGAGAGGAAGAGGTTGACATCAATGGGTTGGTGATGTATATAGAAACAGAGAATTAATAAAAGAAGTTAGAATTGATGTCTCTAACAAGAAGAGAAAAGAAAAGAGAGGAATTCAAGGGCAAGGAATTGAGAGGAAGAAGACTATTTGATTGTAACAGAAAGACGTACATACAAAAAAAAAAAAAAAAACAGAGAAAAGGCAGAGTATGCAGTATATAGTGTTTGTGTTTAGTGGGTTTATAAAGTGACGGGGGATTGTTGATTATTTTAAAGTGACGGGGGATTGTTTGATTATTTTACGCTATCCTAACTTGAATTCATAAGATTTTGACACGTGTCCTTCTGCTATTTTTTGGGTCAATTTCATTAACGCGGGTTTAGCGAAGGACAACATCAATAATACGCCAATACAACACCAACCTGCTTCTCTTCCTTCTTTCAAAACCGGTTGATAGTCAAAATTGGTTGAAGTTATTCTAACTCGAATTCATAAGATATTGACACGTGTTGGTATCGTAGGGCTTTATAGCATTTTTGGGTCAATTTCATTAACGCGGGTTTAGCAAAGGACAACGTTAATAAATACGCCGATACACACCAACTTGCTTCTCTTCTGTCAAATCCGGTTTTGCAAAGATGACATAGTACTCTACTTTTATATACACGCAAGAGTGGTCGTTATTAGCGAATCTTAATTGGGGTTGGTGTAGCTGATCTGGTGTGTTGTGATAATCTCAGATAAAGTTAATCTTTTGAGAAAGAGACCTGTTAGTGGGCATTTTAGTAATTCTCTATTTAGATTAGCGACAGTTTAGTTTCGTTATCGATAAAAGATTTGGTTCTACAAAATATAATCAAATTACTTTTATAGACACACACGAGTGGTCGTTATTATCAAATCTTAATTGGGTTGGTCTAAATTCTTAGTTCAAGGCTTCTTTATAAAATGAGCACTGCTGCTTTCCGGACTAAAAAAAAACCTACTTTGTATCAAGTCTATTTGGCATCTATGTGTCAATAATATGGGCCTGACTTAAAATATAACAATATCTTTAAGGTTTTCGTATTCTACTAACATAATACTTCCTCCCTATTTGTTTCTTGCCGGTTCATCGTCTCCCCTGGTTTCTCTCTTTGTTTTTATTTGTGTTCATCGTGTCTTGCTTGTTTCTGTGCTTCTGTGCTATATTCATCCTTTGATTGACAAGTTGCCTCAATTTTAGTAGTTGCAGTTTCTTTTTTGAGTGGTCTTGCTGAGCCTCGCACAACAGACCAAAAGGAAAGTTTGATCACAACACAAGTCTTTTTTGAGTGGTCTTGCTGAGCCTCACGCAACAGACCAAAAGGAAAGTTTGATCACAACACAAGTCTATTTGTATTAGCAACAGAGTGCCACAAAGAGGGGGTGACAGCATGCCACACAGAGGGGGTAAACAGCTGTAAAATTTGTCAAAGAAACAATTATATCAGAAGGTATGGATTCTGGTTTACATAATATGTTTTCTTCTTCTTCTTCCTTTTTTTTTTTTTTTTTTTTCTTTTTTGTATGGATCGTTCTTCTTCATATATATATATATATATATATATATTTCATATTTCATATTGAAACAAGATGGGTTTTCTCTCTGTATTTCCTTTCTCTTCTTATTTTTTTAAGAGATATTTGAGCAGTAAAATTGAAAGATGAATATGCTCTCTATATTTTCTTTCTCTTCTGAATTTTTTTATTTTTTTAAGAAATATATGAGCAATAAAATTGAAAGATGGGTTTGCTTTTGTATTTTTCTTCTATTATGATTTTTTTTAAGAGATATATAAGAAGTAAAATTGATTTTGAAATCAAGAAATTGGACACTAGTTAATATCTGGAGCAAAATTTTATTTTATTTTTTTAATGGATGGTTTTTTTCCTTGTGAAAAAAATCTTGAGCCTAAGATTACTAATGAAGGTATGTTTTGGATCTAGTTAAGACAAAGTACGCAATTGATCAACATATTGAAGGTATACAAAGTTTGCAGGTTTTCTTTGGGATGGATACCGGCACAATAACGTTGATACATTGGGGCCGGAGAAGTAGATGATTCTTTTGTTATAATCTACCTCTTGGGTTATTGGTGTTCTAGATTCTGTTGTTGCCAACAGTTCTGAGTTGCTTCGGATGGCTCTTACTATGTTTGCCTTTTGATATGTTGCAGTTGTTGACTCTTGTAGTGTGGAAGCCTTTGGTGTTTGCGTTTGGGTGACATCCTGTTTTTCATTTGTTTGCTCAAAGGAATGCCCTTGTTTTCCATATACTATATTGTTTACATTTATGAATATTTTCTTTTCATTTTTTTAGGGGTCTAGATACATGAGTTAAAAAATTGTTGTTAGAGCAACTTACATCTTATGCTATTATAATGTACATCTGGATGGTGTTTAAATGATATCAATTTTTTGTTTACTTAAGGTGTTGATCATCTATTTTTTTGAATGTCTGAGTGCCACATATTGATGATAGTATTCTAGGAAGTGAAGATGATGATAGTCCCTTTTTTTCTTTTCTTTTTTTTTTTTTTTGGTTCTAATCTTTGTCAAAAGAATGTTGGTAGTGACTGTGGTGGTTTTATCCAGTTTGTATTGCTATGCCGGCTAATTGTATTTGTGTTATTTTTTTTATTTTTTGATCAATTTTTAGGTCCTAGAGACGGTATATTTAGGTTCAATGACATCTTACTTGGAAAAAAAAATATTGTGAATAATACAATGGCTCTATCAGAGACTAGTTTGCATTACATACTAGAAGTGGAATGTAATATAGACCAATGTCTAAGCTCTTTTGGTTCAAATATATATATCTAATGAATCTTTCCATTCACCATAACGTTTTGTCACATAAAACCAATCCAAGTACCATTTACAGCTTTAAAACAAGAACATGAAGAGAAAAAAAAAATTTGAAGCATATCCAGCTACTCAGTTTGGAGTATGGTTCTTGATCTGATTCCTTCAACAATGTGATAGGCCAAATTCAAGCTCCTACACAACAATTAGTGTAGAGTTCAAAATTCCTCCAATTCAATGACTTCTCCTTACTGATTAGTCTCCATTAACACGATCCTTCCACCTTGCAAGACAACAAATCCAAAAGATACCACCATTAAAACCTAATACCTAGCCATAACTCCGTAACTAACACAAATATGTCATTCCTATAAACATTAATATTTATTACATTCAAGCATCAGAATAAAAAAAAAAAAATTTCCCAACAAACAATTAAACCACGTAATGAAATGGCTAAATAAGCAACCCAAGTTTAGCAATATTTGAACTAACAGCATAAGTCTAACCAGAATGGCCAAGAAACAGATTCTTTAGATGACCTATGATGTCAAAACACAAAATTAAGGTGTAACACTTGATAATGCAAAAATTAGCTTATAATCTAAATAGAGTAACACAGGAGATACACATAATATTTCGAAGATTCGAAGGTAATTACTATTGTGCTTCATACCTGGGTGAAATGTTTGTTATGGCCCTTAATTGTGTCGAGTATTAAACTGCAACTTAACCAAAACGTATCAAAGAAATAGGAAAATAAGAATCTGATCTCAAAAGTTAAAAAATCAGGAAGTGAGCAAAACTCTGAATTCATACTGGTAACAACCTACTCCTTACAGAATAATGATTTGACTAATAAAAGTATGATCTCAAGAGTTAAAATATTACACATAAACAAAGAATATGAAGTTAAGAAAAGAAGACAATTTGACTCCATCTCCATTTTTCAGTCATTAAAGGTGGAAAAAAAAAATGGCTAACAAATATTGTTAAATGTCATATTAGAAGTTATGTAATATTAAACGAGAAGGATTTCATAAGTGTTATTTGTGCTGTAAAACGTTGTCATAGCATTGCATGTCCCCCTGTACAAATTAAAAATTCTTCCCGCTTGAAGTTGAGAAATGCATTAAAAAAAGAAAAATCTTATTGGCACTGATTAATGTGAAGGTTAAATTTTTTTGCATTAATGTGATTTCTACTGATGGAAGATCATTGATAATTTTACATGGCTGAATAAAGGGTGAGAATTGTCAAGGCTTACATCAATTTTATAGGATTCCATTACATACAATTTATGAGGATCATCAACACTAGTCCTTCGGAATAGATATTTTCCACACTTTGACTTTCAACTTGTACAAAAATCCAATATATTTTCATCATTCCTCTTGAATAATTCTCAGTAGTTTATAGGTTCAGAAACAATATTACATAATTCAAATAGTCACAAACGAGAGCTCAGATGTGGTAAAAAAAATAAACCTGATTCGCCTTGTAATTATAGGCCAAAAACGGTGCTCTCTCTATGGAGCAGACAACATCCTTCCAAAACTCTAAGAGCTAGCGCACTTTCAACATCAGTTTTTTCTTTTTTCTTTTTTCTTTTTTCATTGGTTTATATGATCCAAATTTGCACTCTCTGATCCTTTAGCTCTTTTAATGAATGTTGAAAGAGAATTGATACCACTATTACATATCAAAGTAACAACCCATATACAGTCTAAGACCACACAAATACAATTTCGAAATTCTGAAAAGTACATGGTATTATAACGTAAGCTTTAACAACAAAAACCATTAAATTAACAGTTCATATATTATAATTTACTAAAAATATGAGAAATTTAAGATACCGTGATCTGAATTCAGGATTTATATTCCTCTACTATAAATTTTAATAGTTTGAATCATATAGTTTTCTTTACTAGGTAATTGAATAGAACACCAGTAGTAAACTGAGCCTAATAAAAATATCTTCTTTGATTGACTCAATTAGAACCCATACGATAAAGAAGAAAAAATCATCATCCCTAATTTTTTATTTACTTTTCCTCCCTCCATCTCTCAGAAATCAAACAAACCAATATATCTACAACAAATCCTTCACACAACGTGACTTAAAAAGATCACACGCACACATACAAACACATATATTGACTGATTCTGCTTTCTAGAAGATTTAAATTAGAGGTGAGAGGAAGATTGTGATGACCTGGATTTTTAAAATTTTAATTTAATTATTTTATGATTTTTAGACTGTCTAAAATTATTTATTTATTTATTAAAGTTGGTGGGTTTTGAAATTTGATTTAGGTTTGTTATATATATATATATATATATATATGTATGTATTTTGTTTGGTAGAAGAAGCAGCAGGTGGCTGCCGAATGATGAGAGAAACAAGAAAAGAAAGAAATGGCAAAGTGGTTTGAATTGATTTTCCTTATTATATATATATGTATGTATGTAATCTGTTGGATGGGAAGTTCCAGCCGTGAGATAGGAGGATAAATGGAAAGGGGATTTGGTTTGGTTTGGTGATGTCATGATTAACTTTGCTTTTTGATTTTTGCTTTTTGGTTTTTTGACCAAGTCTTGTGTATAATGTTTTGTGTATAAGATGGTGAAGTAAGTTTGGTTGCCGACAATGAGAGATAAGAAGAAAAAGGTGGTGGTGGGCCCACTTGTGAGGAATGTAATTTTGAATTGATTTTTGTTTGGCCATAAGTATGGGCTTCACGTGGGTTTGGTCTGGTGTGAGGTATAACAATTGGAGTGTTGTTAGATATGATGTGATAAGGTGGTGTGTACTTGCGGGGCCCAAAATGATATTACTTGGGCAATTTTTTTAGTTTTGAATTGTGCACGTGGGTCTGTTGGCTGGAATGAGTTCGGTGGATTGCTTATATATATTGGGTGTTTATGACTTGGTTTGTATGCAAAAGCAGGAAGAAAAATTAGAGTATGAGTTTGAGTTCGATCAGAGAGTGTTGAAGAAAAGACAGAGTGAGTTAAGAAAGATTAAGGAGCAAACAGAGGGCTGAGAATTGCAGAGGATGCCGGAAGTTTGGAGACTTGATGATCCAGTAAGGAATTACTCTTTTTCAGTGTAGCATGGGGTGATTTTGCTTCAATGGTTTTATTAAATGTTTTGATTAAATGCATATCTATTTTGTTTATATACTCATATGAATGTGAATTTTTGTGAAGTTGTTTTATTAAACCTCCATGAAATTCTTGTTATAGTTTTTCCTACTGGGACTTTCAGTCTCACCACCTTCCAGTTTCAGGTACCGAAGATGAACGGGGATTGCTAGAGACGGGCTTAGGATGAAGAGTTGGCATTGCGAGTTTTATTTTTTTATTTGGAGAATTTTTTTGTATATTTGAGGAAATTAACTTTGTATAAAAAAAAAAAAAAATAAAAAAGAAAAAAGCATTTTTTTTATGATCCTGAGTGTATTTTGATGTATTTGAGTTGAATGAATTGAGGATTTTATTGAAAATTTTGGGTCGTGATAAAATGGTATCAGAGCTTGTACCCAGCCGGAAGTGAGTATAGTGATGATGTAAACGGGTGTGAATGGGCGAGTGTGTAACACTAGTGAGCTACCAGTTGTAGCCGGGTGTGTGTGGGCGGATGGCGTTCATCGGCAGCCACTGGATTAATGGTTGGTTAGTGTGGTTGGGCAGGTAGCCCAGATTTGTTATTGTTTGTTTTTTTTTTTTTTTTGGTGGGCGGGTGACGCATCGACTAGCTACCACAACTATTACGGAGTGTGTGGGCGAGTGACTAGCACTTTCAGCTACCGCAATGTCCTACATATCATTGTATCTCACATCGCCTGGAGTAAGGATTTGGATTTTGGTTTTGTGGTTGTTGGTGTTTTCGAGTCTACTTGAATCTGAATTTCGAGGACGAAATTCTTTTTAAGTGGTGGAGATTGTGATGACCTGGATTTTTAAATTTTTAATTTAATTATTTTATGATTTTTAGACTATCTAAAATTATTTATTAAAGTTGGTGGGTTTTGAAATTTGATTTATTTTATTTTATGATTTAGGTTTGTTATAAAATTATATATCTTTATATATGTATTTTGTTTGGTAGAAGAAGCAGCAGGTGGCTGCCGAATGATGAGGGAAACAAGAAAAGAAAGAAATGGCAAAGTGGATTGAATTGATTTTCCGGATTATATATATATGTGTATGTATGTAATCTGTTGGATGAGAGGTTCTAGCCATGAGATAGGAGGATAAATGGAAAGGGGATTTGGTTTGGTTTGGTGATGTCATGATTAACTTTGGTTTTTGCTTTTTGCTTTTTGCTTTTTTGCTTTTTGACCAAGTCGTGTGTATATTGTTTTGTGTATAAGATAGTGAAGTAAGGTTGGTTGTCGACAATGAGAGATAAGAAGAAAGAGGTGGTAATGGGCCCACTTGTGAGGATTGTAACTTTGAATTGATTTTTGTTTGGCCATAAGTATGGGCTTTATGTGGGTTTGGTCTGGAATGAGGTATTGCAATTGGAGTGTTGTTAGATATGATGTGATAAGGTGGTGTGTACGTGCAAGGTCCAAAATGATATTACTTGGGTAATTTTCTTTTGGCTTTGAATTGTGCACGTGGGTCTGTTGGCTGGAATGAGGTCGGTGGATTGCTTATATATATTGGGTGTTTATGACTTGGTTTGTATGCAAAAGCAGAAGGAAAAATTAGAGTGTGAGTTTGAGTTCAGAGACTGTTGAGGAAAAGACAGGGTGAGTTAAGAAAGATTAAGAAGCAAACAGAGAGGGCCAAGAATTACAGAGGAGGCCAGAAGTTTGGAGACTTGATAATCCAGTGAGGAATTACTCTTTTTCAGTGTAGGGTTCTCTATACCTTGAATGACATGGGGTGATTTTGCTTCAATGGTTTTATTAAAATGTTTTGATTAAATGCATATTTATTTTGTTTATATACTCATATGAATGTGTATTTTTGTGAAGCTGTTTTATTAAACCTCCATGAAGTTCTTGTTATGGTTTTTCCTACAGGGACTTTCAGTCTCATCACCTTTCAGTTTCAGGTACCTAAGATGAACGGGGATTGCTAGAAACGGGCTTAGGATGAAGAGTTGGCGTTGCGAGTTTTATTTTTTTATTTGGAGAATTTTTTGTATATTTGAGAAAATTGACTTTGTATAAAAGAGGGCATTTTTTTTATGATCCTGGGTGTATTTTGATGTATTTGAGTTAAATGAATTGAGGATTTTATTGGAAATTTTGGGTCGTGACAAAGATAATGAACAACAGTGTACCTCAGAGGCCAGCAATGGATTGACGGTGACTCGGCGACGAATCGGAGAGACAACGATGAATGAGAGAAAGGGTTTTATGAGTCTAACCATAAAGGGGGTTTATGAGTCTAACAACGATGAGGAAGAGCAATGGATTGACGGTGACCCGGCGACGCATCGGAGAGACAACGATGAGGAAGAGATAGGGCAATTGTGATAAAATTAGGGAGGGGAGAGGACAATGAGAAAAAGAAAGGGATAATAGGAGTCTGGCCACGTAAGCTTTTCCATGCAGGTCGGTTGTAAGTCGGGTCATAAATTGTCGTCAAAAATATCATTTCTCTTACAAAATATGTTATTAAATAACATTCAATGTAGAACCCAAAATGGTGGATAGTTGTCACTAGATTGAATAGCTTAATGGAGTTTACTTCTTAACTATAGCTTCCAGGAAATTACGTGATGTCTCAATTCTCCATAACGTGATGTCTCAATTTTCCAAACCATTAGCTTCTCGATTTAGGGCTTATTAGTAGGTAATTAGTTTTCCAATTATTGTATAATTAGTTATCTATTTTAGTTAGGTCTTATTCTATAAATTGAATGTAACACTATCAGTGAAGTATAATAGAATATAATTTTAATTCTCATATTCATTCTCTTAATTGCAAGAATAAGAGCAAAAAAAACTCCTAAACTATACAATTGTTGTTTAATGCCCCCTGAACTATTTTTAGGAGCAAGTTGACCCCTCAATTATTAAAAGTAAGCAAAATGCCCATTTTAAGGCCATCGAAGACAACTTTCCGACCGGCAAAGTAATACAATTACTAATTTACCCTTAGTTATTAATTTATTATAAAAAAATATATAAAATTTATGAATGTGAAATACCAATAATACCCTCATATTTTTATTTTATTTATTTTTTCTTTAGTCTTCCTTCTCTTTCTACCTCTTCACCTTCACCCACGTCTCACCACCACTACCTCACCATTACCGCAGGCAACACCACTGCACCATATAAACAAAAACAGTATTTTATATGTTTGGCATAACCTAATTCTTTGTTGTTTTTATGATTGTTCTATTTTTGTTCGCTTATTATTTTGAATGATCCAAAAATGGTTAATTAAGTTAGTTATGAGACCTCAAATCACATGAATTTTATTAGATTATGAACACTTAGTGTAATACCCCGTATTTTATTAAAGAGTTTAGTTTATTTAAATTCAATTATGTGTGGATTCCTTTACCTATTATTGTGCATGCTACATTGTTATATTAAGTTCATTTAATGGTGTATGTAAATTAATTGTATATATTAAAATAGTAAATTTATTCATTTAATTGTGCATGTATTATTATTAATAATTTTATTTGTTGATTATGTTTAATTAAGCATTATTAGTTAATTAAAGTATTATATTTGTGTTATAAAGTATTATGATGATACAATGTATTCTTATGTAATAATAATAATAATAATTATAATAGTTTAATAATAATAATAATAATATAATAATAATAATAATTATAAAAGTTTATTAATAATAATATTAGTAATAATAATAATAATAGTTATAATAATAATAATAGTATTAAATCACAATGTCATGATGAAATTAGAGATTAGGATAGGATTTCATTAATGTGTATGGGTAGACTTAAAGCCATACGGTTGGGAATGTGGTTAATTAAATACAAAAATAGATATTTGTAATATTTATATTATATAATTTGTACATAAATTAGCTAGCCTACCTTAGAAGGAAAGAAAGGGAGTTAGAAACAAATTATAAATTCTAGTGAGCCATTGTAAAAGTGTGGAAAGGAAGAGAGAGAAAGAAAGGAACTTGGACCGGTGTAGGAGAAATCTACCCGACTACGCGCAACCGGCGGATTTATTTTAAATCCAAAAAGGAAAGTTCTTATCTATTTTTCCCCTTTGAATCCATAAATTAATTGTTTAAATTATTTAAATTATTATGGAGCCTTGAGAGCATGTTAGGAGTTAATAAATTATTATTGTTAGTTTATTTAATTAATAAAATTTTAATTATTTAGGATGGTAGATATTTAATTATTATCCTATACAATTAAATCTAGCTAAAAATAATTATTTAAGGCTTCAGGGAATTTTCTACAATTTTTCGGTAATTTTATGCATTTTCCGGCGAGGCTCCGGCGAGATTTCCGGTCGCCGCCAGCGGGGAAGAAGACCGGAGCAATCCGGTGTGTTGCGGCACAAGATACCCTGTGTGCGCATGGATCCATGACCGGTTGATGGGAAATTGATTAAAAGATGGATTCGGTGTAGCGCGGGACACCATATGATGGTGCGCGCTAATCATCAGCCGTAGGATGAAAGGAGCATAGGTGGATTGATCCGGTGTGGCGCGCATGTAGGAAAGGTGATGCAGCCAACCAACCGGAGGAGGCCACGTCAGCAGGAAGCCATCAACGCGCGCGTGGGAACGCGCGCGCGCGCGGGAGCGCGTTCGCGCGAGTGGAACTCTCCAGACGCGCGTGGGAGCGCGTGCGCGCGCGTGGCTGATGCCAGACGCGCGTGGAGGCGCGTGGGAGAGTGGGGAAGGTTGGGCTGCGCGTGGGGAAGCTCTGGGAGGCGCGTGAGGGCGCGTGTGGGGTCTCTACAGCTGCTGAAAATTACTAGAATGCCCCTAAGGCCTGTTTTGTAAATTCCAGAACCTTAAACTTGGATTTTTAGGTACTGCGTTGGTATTTACGGGTTTAACGGGCCACGAAATTATTATTTTAATACCCGTTAAGTATTATTATGGCCGATTAATATTTCTAAACCTTAATTGGCCCGTTTACCGTACGGATATGAATGTGATTCATTTGAACAACATTACTATAGGTGGTGTTATTATTTTATTAAATGGTATTCATTAGTACTGTTAATAATGTCACGGTTATCGTCATATAAGTTATCCATTAGATGTTATGGGATATTTATACTGTTAATCATATATCAACCATGATTATTATGCTGTGTGCATTTCAGAGAATAAATGGACTGTTTAAATTATGTCGCATTTATATTATATGGATGTGTTGCCATATAGAACCATGTGAGCTGGCTAATAAGTTTAGACTCATTTATACCTTATGCATTCGTTGCTATAGACAGATGTGTGGCTGTCGGGGTATGTGGTTTAATATTATTGGCATGTGTTGCCTAATTGACATGCTCAGTATGTTTAGTAATATTATTGGCATGTGTTGCCTAATTTATATGCTCAGTATATTCATCAGTACTTTGAGAGGTGTTATCATTGTGTAGTTCGTTATAGTTTGTGTTGCCAGTACCGTGCACCATGTATAATAGCTGATTTCCCGGGTAGGGAAAGGCGACACTTAACCACCTAGTGTGAGTCTAAGTGATCACCGTCTATTCTGGTTGAGGTCATGTTATACATTGGATAGTTCCCTTAGGATGTATACAGATATAGTACTCAACCGATTCATAATGATTAATTTATTTGATTCTCTGATTTGGGTCATAGTAGAGAGGACTTGCTCGTAGGGTTGACCCACCATTGTTGTTATTTCAGGATACGGTCAGTACCCGTTCCAAGGTTGAGGTTAGCAATGTGGGACCACCATCCGAACTCATCTACTCTTACGATCCAGTTCAGGGTAGAAGTTTTATGTATTACTTCAGTTTCAGTTTTTATTTACTTTTGACGTTGAACTCTCAGGGTTATATTTAGGGATCCTTGACATAGGATTTCCAAATTGTAATGAAGTACTGTATTAAATAAAGGATGGATGGATGTTGTATTATTTAGTATTCCTTTCCTGTCTAAATTCTTTTATTATCATCATTTTGTATTCCATGCTTGTATATTGCCAATTGTTTTTGATATCCCTCGTTTTTCGTGTATAAGCCTGATCAACTTATGCGTGGAAAATGTGGGGGTGTTACAGTTGGTATCAGAGCATTCCAGGTTCGAGTGTCTTAGGGATCTGTGATTACTATACTTCCGCGTTGTGTATTCTGATAATTAGAGCCTAAGTATTAGGGTTCTTTGTATTCTTTTAGTCGGTCCATTATAATGTACTGACGTTAGATTTTTTTTAATTCAAAAGAAGGATGTCTCGGCGTGGGACAAGGAATGCGAACCAGCATCGCAGTATTTCCCCAACTCAAAATGAGAATCAGGAATTTTCCCCTCAAGTTGCTGATATCATTGCACGAGCTGTGGCAGCAAGAGTAGCATCTGCTTTACGAAACCAGCAACCTCCTCCGATACTACCTGTTCCTGAACCAGTGGCACAGCCAATGTCATGGGACAAAACTCGTCACTCGTTTATCAGAGGGAATCCACCATCGTTTGCGGGGTCCACAGATGTCTTGTTAGCATATCAGTGGAAACAGGAGAGCGAGCGTCATCTTCGGATGGTAATCTGTACCGAAGTGCAGAAACAGATGCTGGCTACGTTTATGCTGATAGGCAATGCATTGCAGTGGTGGGAGTCTATTACTACTGTCGAAGAGAGGACCAGATTGACTTATGCTGAATTTCAGACTCGCTTTGACGACAAGTATTTTCCTATGTCAGTGAGATCAGCGATGAAGACTGAATTTCTGGATCTGCAACAGGAGGATATGACTGTGGCTGAGTATGAACAGAAGTTCATTAATTTGTCATTATTTGCACCAGAGGAGGTCAATACGGAAGAAAAGAAGAGAGACCGCTTTGTGAAAGGGTTGATATGGCCGATTAAAGTGGTGATCATAGGTAGTCCTGCATATACTACTTATATCCAGGTGGTTAATGCCACCTTACAGCACTGCCAGATGAGGAGTGATTACCGGAAGTCCAAGGGAGATAAGCGGGCTAACCGAGACTACCAGACAGTGGAGAAAGGAAGTAGCAGTGGTACCAAGTCCAACGA